TCGCGAATGCCAAGGTCCATTTCGGCGGGTGGCGACAACCACGTCGATTCTTTTTCTGTCGCAATAATCTCCTAATGGGGTATTGGTATAGTGCATTAAGTGGTTATTCTTTCAATGTCAAAAGGCTTGTCTCAATGAAAGATCTTAAATTACTAGGTTTAAAGTCTCAAGATTGTCATATCTTGATGCAACAGTTGCTCCTAGTGGCCATTTGGGATATATTACCTAATAATGTTAGATATGCCATAATTAGATTGTGCTTATTCTTTAATGCAATTTTTAGTAAAATGATTGATCCTAAAATGTTGGATGAGTTAGAAAATAAATAGTTCTTATATTGTGTCAATTGGAGATATATTTTCCTCCATCATTTTTTGACATCATGGTTCACTTAATTGTGCATTTACTCAAAGAAATTAGATTTTATGGTTAGTTTCCTTACGGTGGATGTACCCAATTGAGCAATACATGAAGGTATTAAAAGGATATGTGAAGAACCAACACTGTCCAAAAGCATCAAGTGTTGAAAGATATATTGTAGAGGAAGCTATTAAGTTTTCTACCGAATATTTGTTAGAAGTTGAAGTTTTAGGGATATGTAAGTCCCATCATTAATGTGGAAGAATTATTGGTAAGGGTTTATGAAATGCAAAGATTATGAGTTACACACAAGAAGTGTTGCAGACACATTTGTATGTATTAAATAACATTAGTGAAGTTGTACCATACCTAACTGTTCACAAGGACATGGTGAAAAAAAATCATTCGTGAATGCTTGAGAAATGGTTGATCAATGAGCATAATACAACATTCTCAAAGTGGTTCAAACACCAAATTAACAATGATAACACAACTTCTAAAACATTGAAATGGATAGCACCAAATCCTAACTTTGATGTCATATGTTGGAGTGATCACGATATGAATAGCTACACGTTCTTTACCCAAAAGGAAGATCTAAAAAGTACCTTAGGGTCACCAATGATGTAATAAGATGTACCTTAGGGTCACCAATGATGTAACAAGCTAACAAAGTGTACCTTAGGGTCACTCATGATGTAATAAGGTGTACCTTAGGGTCACCAATGATGTAACAAGCTAACAAGGTGTACCTTAACGTCACCAGTGATGTAACAAGCTAACAAGATGTACCTTAGGATCACCAGTGATGTAACAAGCTAACAAGGTGTACCTTAGGGTCACCAGTGATGTAACAAGCTAACAAGGTGTACCTTAAGGTCACCAGTGATGTAACAAGCTATGATGTATGATTATGAGACACGTGACTGGCGCCACATGCATGCATCTATGAGTCGAGTCCATGATATCCTTGCATGATGAATGACTGTGTATGTATTATGTGTAAAAATTGAATTTGCATCTGACTAATGAGTAGCTATGGCTGTGCTTGTATGATTTGTGTGTGTGTTACCTAACTATTATTTCTACATCTGGAACCGAGTGAGATGTTTCTCACTCCCTTATTGTTCTTTATATGTGTTTAAATTGTGTTACAGGTGATCATCAGCATGAGGATGTTGGTGATGAGGCTCAGGCTTCAGTTGGGTATGCTCTAATAGGATATGTGATATCGAGGCATAGCTAGGCTTAGTTTAGGATTTCATTATTGTAATTGTTTTGGAAAGACTCATGTTTCATTTTTCTATGAATTTCGCATTTGGCCATGATTTAAGTTTACAAATGTGAATTCTCTACTCTTATGTTAATGAAACTATTGTTTTAATTCTAAAGATATTATTTAACCCAAGAATATGTTTTATAATTATTCTATATGTATGTTGGGGTAGAGGGTGTCACATGGACATTATGTTATCATGATTTATGAAGTGTTCCTAATCGACATAAAATGTCCAAAATACCCATCATAAAGTGTCTTTGGCACACTAGTGTCCCTTGTTTGTGGTGTGCAAAACATGTCTCATTGATGTGAGCTAACAACGATACAAGTAGGCAATCATTGAATACTCATGGATTCAAAAAGAAAAAAAAAACTCACTTGAAGGAGAGTATACCATGTGTTAGAGACTCACACTTGAAGAGAGTGTTAATGAGAGTCTCATATTGAATAAAATTTGACATGTTAAGTAGTATATAAGTGATAATGACTTATTAACTCAATGTTTTAAGATTTTAAGTTAGGATGTAATGTCAAACTCATGTGATTTACTCACTAGTCAATACTCAAGGAAATGTGAAGGTTCTAACTCTATGCAATGTTTATTTTGGTTAAATATTTTTTTAATATTTATCTTAATTATAAATTATTATTTTATTTTATTTTCTATTTTTAAATACTTATACAAAAAGCAAAAGTAATTTTATTTTTAAAAATAAAATAAAATATTTTAATTTCTAACTAGTAGATAATAAAATTATAATTTTTTTCTCAAATCAACACTTCATCATGTTAAGTGAAAACGAGTGAAGTGAAAACCCCAACATTATTGGCGTTAATTAGAATGTGACAGTTTGACACAGTTCACAATGATTCACGATTCTATTTTTGACACCATGGCTGTAAACAGATACTACTTATTCTTAATAGTTTAATCAATGAAAATTTCTATATGTCGTTAAAAGAAGCTTGGATATTAATGTGTTTAGGGATGACCCATCTTTGTAGCACGCGGCATAACAACCTTGACGAATTCCACCACATCAATACCAAAAATACTTGGCGACACAAACAATATAAATGAGTACAGCGCACATCATGGTTGGACAAATCGGTTGTGTCATGATTCAACATAATTCCAAAAACTATCACCAATTCTCACACATTCCAAAGGAGGTGAAGAAATTAAGAAGGGAAGAAAACCCTTGAACGAAATTTCTTCACCACCTTTGTGTTCATGCATTGCATCATCGATCACAAACAAAATAAACAAATACTCAGAAGAAGAGTTTGGTCTTCTCTAGTGATCTTATCCATCTCGAACAAATCACCTCCAATACAGGATACGTCCATTGTGGTCTTATCCGACTCAAAGAGCACTGCATTCAGTACAAGATACGTGTGGTGTAGAGAAAAACGATTACAAACAAAAAGAAAATGAGGCTATGGAAAAAGGCCGCGGGAGCATTGAAGGATAGGTACAGCATTTTGATCGCAAAGCTCTCACCGAGTGGCCCGTGTAAGAACCCTGGTCTTGAAACAGTGATCATCAAGGCCACTAGCCACGATGAACAATGCATGGATTACAAGAGCGTTCAAAGGGTTTTCAAATGGCTACGCACCTCACCCTTGTACCTTAAACCGCTTCTCTGCATTCTCTCCACAAGAATGGAAAAGACTCGTTCATGGGTCGTGGCACTCAAGGGGTTAATGCTCATTCATGGGGTGTTTTGTTTTGACCTACCCGCGGTGCAAAAAATGGGAAGGTTGCCATTTGATTTGACACACTTCAGTGATGGACACATAAACCCTCACAAGGCATGGGTTTTCAATGCCTTTGTTCGTTCCTACTTTGCATACTTGGACCATAAGTCATCGTTTGTGAGATTCGAGGCAACGAAAGAGGACAAGAGTGTGATGGAGGAGTTGCAAAGCTTGGAGACGATGCTTGGTTTGATTGATTTGCTTCTAGAAATCAAGCCTAGGATCCCCCACATGAACATCGTGCTTATTCTTGAGGCCATGGATTGTGTTATGGACGAGGTTTTGGAATTGTATAGTAAATTTTCCAAGAGGGTTCATCTAGTGTTGTGGAGAATAATTGACACGGGTGGAAAAGAGGAAGCATCGATTGGTCTTGAAGTTGTGAAAAAGGTTCAAATGCAAGGTGGTAAGATGACTATGTACTTTGATTTTTGTAGAGACATTGGGGTCCTTAACATTTCCGATTGCCCCGAAATTTTGAGGATCGATGAGAAAGACATTCATGAACTACAAACAATAAGGGATGGTGGTGTCTCCGAGAGGAAAAACTTGGAGGGTAATAATGGTGATGATAATGGGGTTGCGACATATGAGAATAACAACGCCATTGTGGTGAGAGATCGTGGTGCCACTGCCACCATTTCGGAGCAGAAGCAATCAAATTTGAGGACTGTGATCACTGACCAATGGGAGGTATTTGATGATGATTTAATTGTTGATGTAACGGATAGTCCCTCCAATGGGACAAGTGTGCCTATCATCACAACCAATAACCCTTTTGTGGATTCTTTGAGCATCGTACCTCATATTCCCATTTGCAGTAATTATGTTCTTCCAGATTTAATTATTTTGTAGCATTTTGAGATAAATAAATAAGGTTCCATTTTCATATGTTCATAAGGTTTATTGCAATATGCATGTAATATAGATTTTAGAAAAAAAAACACATAAAGGCTTTCTTTGTCGTTCTCATGTTAACAAAAATATTAAGCAAATTTCTAAATTAATTTTTGAGATTATGTATATAATTAGTTGCACATTTTATTTTCTAACTTATAAAAATCGTTAGTTTCTAATTAACTTTTATGAATACAGTCATTAATCATAGTCTTTTTCCATTTTATTAATGACGATGTTTTATAAAATAAAATAAAAAAAATAGCAAAGGGTTTTGAAAATTTCAGAGAAGTATTATTCAGGTAATGCAATTTTGAGGAGTAATTTGAAAGGTTTACTAAAAAGCATGTCGTTGTTTACCTTTTCCCTTCTTAAGTACATAATAGAAAAAAAAATCAATAAAAATAACTTTTTTATTCTTATTATTCATGAATTTTATTATAATATAATTAAATAGATATTAAAATTATACTTTAGGACTTTCTATATCGTTACTTAATTTTCTTCCCAGTTTGAAAATAGTCTGATTTTAAAATTTTGAATATTAAAACAAGTAGTTTGACACTTGTATTCCTTAATTCAAGACTTATGTTTAATTCGACTTAGAAATGAGATTACAACAAGATGTACCACTTTACACTATAATGAGTTGATCATGTTGGTGAGAGTGTTGGCAATTGATATTTTTCCACTGTCATAATTAAATATTTTAAAGTTTCTGCGATTTCATCATGTTTTACTTGTAAGTTTGGTTAAAGGTTGTTTATATTTAGAAAAAGTAAATTGTGTAGACAAATGATGTTTTCTTGTTAGTTTAGTCATATTTTGTTGTTTGCTTTACCCAATCAAGAGTTAGTCAGTTTTAGTATTTAAGTACTTACGGTAAACACTTTCATAGTGTAAAAAACTGAGTTCATAATTCAAATATATCATATCAATTTTTTGTCCCTTTTTTTTGATGCTATAGATTTTCTAATCTGAACATCTATATTTTGTTTTGTCATACATCTCTGTTTTTCATATTATGTTTACAACATGTTATCAAGAGCTTCATTGATCTTTAATAGCATGTGACAGACAAAAATGAAAAAAAGAGAGAACCAGCAAAAAAAATCCCCCAAAAAAAACCTTTAAACTCAAAAATGGTTTCTGGTAGTAATTCTTTACCTCCACCCCCTATATTTGTAGGTGAAAACTATCATTTGTGAGCTACAAAAATGAGGACTTATTTCAGAGCTCAAAGTTTGTGAGTTATAGTGGAAAATGGAAGTAATCCTCCTTCATTACTAAAAAATCCAACTACTCAAATGAGGAGTCACAATGATGAAGTAACAAAAGAAGGAAGAGTTCTTGCCATTATACAGGCAGCCCTATATGATGATGTATTTATCAAGATTCTGACTCTTGAGACAACAAAAGAGGCATGGGATAAGCTACAGGAGGAGTTCCAAGGGAGTGAAAAGAACGAGAGAGAAAATGCAGGTGTTGAACCTTACGAGAGAGTTTGAAACTATAAAAATGAAAGAAAATGAATTTGTCAAAGATTTTACTGACAAACTTTTGAAGATTGTTACCCAAATCAGATTACTTGGTGAAAAGCTTAGTGATCAACGTGTTGAGGAGAAAATCTTGGTATGTCTTCTAGAGAGGTTTGAATCCAAAATCTCTTTTCTTGAAGAAAATAAAGATTTTTCTCAAATATCAATTGCAGAGTTTGTCAATGCTCTGCAAGCTACTGAACAAAGAAGATCTTTAAGGATGGAAGAAAATATTGAAGGTGTTTTTATTGCATACACAAGAGGCAAAAAAAAACAAGAAAAAACAACAACGAAAAAGGTTGGAAAAAAAAGTTTCCACCATGTTGTCACTATAAGAAGAAAAACCATATCAAAAAATTTTGTTGGTTTAGGCCAAGCATTAAATGTAGGGCCTGCAATTCGTTTGGTCATGTGGAAAAGGTTTATAAAAATAAAACAAACCCACAGGAACATCAAGCCCAAATTGTGGAGCATGAAGAGCAACATGAGGAACATCTATTTGTTTCTATGTCTTATTCAACGAGCAAAAGAAAAGAAACATGGCTCATAGAAAGTGAATGCACAAAGCACATGACTCATGATGCTACAAATTTCAAGGAATTAAATCAGACCCAAATCTCCAAAGTCACCATAGACAATGGAGAAAGTGTTGATGTCAAAGGTAAAGGAGTTGTTGTTGTTGAAACTCCTTCAAGTATAAAATATATTTCAAATGTTTTATTTGTGCCTGAAATAAATCAAAATCTTTTAAGTGTGGGACAAATGCTTTAAAAGAATTATTCTTTGTATTTTAAAAATATGGGATGCACAATTTTTTATCCTTATGGCTTTGAGCTTATCTCCATTAAAATGAGAGATAAAATTTTTCCAATACTGTGGAAAAAAAAAAAGTCACGCATGTTATTGGTATAAAAATTTTCCAATAGCTTATGTCCATTAAAGATGAAGATTTGAAAAATGGGTAACTTGAAGAGGCATTTCAGACTCTAAAATGTGATTCAAATGGGCTCACAGTAGAAGTTACTCATGATAAAGTGACCTTTTGAAATAACAAACTTGAAGAGAAGAAAGAAAATGAGGTTTCAAAGCTCTTGGGATTTATAGAGAATCCTTTTTAATTTATGGGTCATGGAAGTTGTAATAATCATGGTTATGACTTTGGCCAATGGAAGAAATAAAGTTTTTAATTGGAAGAATTTGGTTGGAATTTTGTACTTCTTCTTATCAACTCAACAATAAATTTTATGAAAAAGAATAATGTTGATAATGTTGTTGCAATTCTCATGGAAAAGGTTTTTCAATATGGAAAGTGGATTAAGGAAATTGCAAGGATTCTTATTTCAAGTGAGAAAATTAATATTAAGCTCTAAGATGTTAAATTTGTTGCTACTTATCTACTTGAAAGAGATCCAACAAAGAAGTGTAAAGGATGATAAAGATTAAAGCTTGAAGTGATGAAGAAAAATCTCAAGGAGGAGTGTTGAGATTTCCGTTTCTAAGAAGATGCGAACCATGGCCGCACGATATACCTTAGTAGCTGGAGAGCTATATAAGAGGAGCGTCTCGTCCCCCCTTCTGAAATGCTTAACACCTGAACAAGCACATTATGTCCTCCGAGAAATCCACGAAGGCATATGCGGAACTCACTCAGGAGGGCGAACTCTCGCAGCTAAAGTCGTCCGGGCCGGTTACTATTGGCCGACTCTAACGACTGATTGTACCAAGTTTGTTTAACAATGCCAACCGTGTCAACAACACGGACCCCTAACGAATCAACCAGCCGAAGATCTATACTTCATCACGACCTTATGGCCCTTCTCGGTATTGGGAATGGATATCTTGGGGCCATTCCCGCCAGCAAAAAGGACAAGTGAAATTCTTAATAGTGGTCATCGATCACTTCACAAAGTGAATCGAAGCAGAAGCGGTTTCCGTCATCTCAGCGAACAATGTACAAAAGTTCTTCTGGAAAAATGTCATCACCCGGTTCGGAGTACCTCATGCTCTCATCACAGACAATGGCCTCCAATTCACGGACCGTCGTTTCAATGAATTTCTTGATGGACTTCAAATCAAACACAGGATGACGTCAGTAGAGAACCCTCAGTCCAATGGTCAAGCCGAAGCAGCAAACAAGGTCATCCTAAGAGAGCTAAAGAGACGGCTCGGACAAGCTTCATGGAAAATGTTGATGACGAGTGTCCAGAAGCACTAAACCTCAAGTTTGACCAACTAATGTACATTTGGAGAGATACACTTTTGTTGGAGAACCAACTTCCAAGGAGATTACTTGAGATGCTAAGCAAAAAGGAAGGACCCAAATTGGAATATTTATTTCCAATCATCTTGACTTTGGTAAATACAAACGAAATGGAACAATAAATATCTTTGTCCAAAATCCTAAACCACTTCATATACTCGATTATCATTGTTCAACTTGCATGTTACCCCTCAAGTCGATCACCATTGGCACATACGATCAAGTGGAGATAAATACAGTTCCAAACCAACAAGAAGAACAAGATAATATTCAAATAGATCCGGATGCTTGGCTTACTTACAAGAACGTTCGAGATCTAAAAAGAGCAGGAATTCGAGTGATACCAAATCCCTCATCCGAAAATTCATTTTTATGGAATGACATTAATTTCACCTCTAAGTGGTTTAGTGGGGAATTGAGACTCCCATTATCTTATTACAACGAAGTCACGACCTATTTATTTGGAAACATTATGCGTATGAGATGTGTACAGATGTTCGTTGTGAATATGAATTTTGCTCATACATTTCCTTCATGGATTCATTGATTGACAATGCTGAAGATGTGAAGGAGCTCAGATTGAGTGGTGTAGTTCAAAACCTGCTCGGAAGTGACCAAGACTTGGCCAATCTCTTCAATGAATTGGGTGAGGATTTGCCAACTAAAATGTATTCTGGCTTCAACAGAACTGATTCATTGGCCTTCACCAAGAAATATATTTTGGTTAAGCAGAAAATTGAAAAGCATTACACAACTAAATGGAGGACATGGTTGGCTGAAGCTTACAATACTTATTTCAATACCCCGTGGGCTATAATAGCCTTTTTGGCTGCATCACTAGTATTAATTCTCACTTTTATCCAAACTTTGTTCACCATACATTCGTAATGCAGGAGTAGTCTCAAGTATGCTAGTATATATAACCAGCTCTTCATGTTCCCTGCAAATAATAATCTATATAGGATTGGAACCTATCATATTTGTGTGTTAATATAATTAGTTAATATAATCCCTTTCTTCCTTGGTTACAAATGATTTGTTACTTTTAATTTGAGACAAATTTCATTCCTTCCTAAATTCCTTGGTTAAATATTTGCTTCGAAGCTATCCTCATACTTGAAAACAAAGAGTCACTAACTGATACTCACTCAGGAGGGCGAACTCTCGCAGCTAAGGTCATCCGGGCCGGTTACTATTGGC